GATCAGCCTTGGAGGATTCTGACTCGAACTATAAAACTATAAAACAAATGACAAAGCAAACAAAGTTAATCCCCATGTGATGGGATTCCAGCATGGTCAAAATTTAGTAGGCCAAAATCTCCATGTGGCATATGTGTATGTTGTGTCAGTTGGTTAGCTACATGTAGCTAGGATACTGTCATCAGTGTACTGAGCATGTGCAGGAATGCAGGAACTGGAATTGCACTTATTTCCTTTTGTCTTGGATGAGCCATGTGGTTTGACTAGATGTACAAGTCTATATTCTGCTCATTGATTGGTTAAAGGTATATGTGGGTGTAGCTATTAATGGGAGGAGTTATAGTGCTATATAAGGAATGTACACTATGTGTTGGTCTCTCAGAATGTTGGAACAGGAGTTCATCTGAGACCCGATCGGTAATGTGAATAAAGGCCTGTTACTTCCTGAAGACCTGTGTCCAATATTTCTGTGTTTGGCTTCTGCATGCTTACACTGCAACATCTCTGGTGCATTGGCAGTGGGAACCTCATTGCATGGAAGCTAGCGCAGAGATTTGAGACGGTAAACTTTTACCAAACCTTCTACGCTACAATCCTGGACTTCTACTGCGTGGACCTCCTTTCGTCTCGGCGCCACTGGCCTTTTGTCCAGGAGATCATCGGCTTCTGCGCAGTGAGTCCCGGATTGTTCCGTCTATGAGTGAACCCAGGTCCAGAAATTAACAGGTAAGATTGATACCGTTAGAGCGGTAGACCCACAAGGGGTTTTATATTTGGAACCGGTTATTGGAATCTGCCCTGTCCTAATGGATGGAAGAAGTGAAAAGCGCAACACTTATCTGGAAATTAGACGCTCTGTAGTCAGCCCGTCTAATATAGGTGGTTTGGGTCAGACTGAGTTCTGGTGTAAATAGCTCATGTCGGACACCGGTGTCCTGTCTTGACTAGCGTATCTAGGGTGTAAATTTTGTTCGCTAGGTCGGGGGGACCGGGAGACTAGCATACTCTGTTGTATATTATAGTTTGCTAGATTTCACCCTATCTTAACTAAGTGTGCTCTGTTGTAAATCTAGCCACTAGCTTATTGATAGTTTAATAGACTAGCTGGGTACTGTGTAAATTCTGCCCTCTAGTTCGCTATACGTGGTGTCTGGGCAGCGAAGAACTTATCGAATCTCTGGTGTATAAATAGATCGAAAGCTCTCGAGGTGCTGGCCAGTTAGAATAGTTGGAATTATTGTAAATGTTGTTAAATATATTGTAGTTGGTGAATTGGTTAACTTGTATGTCCTACTAGAAAGTTAGAGCTCTGCTGTCTAGTGGGAGTGTAAATTGTGTGTATAACTGTAAAATAGCGCACGGTACCATAACTACTGACATGTACCATAACCACTGACATTGTGTAAAAATTACTAACAATTGCTGTTTTATGTTTTATGTATAATACCATAACTGTTACTAACTGATCTGTGACTTTCAAACTGTATTATAACCACTTACTAACTGTACCATAACCACTGACTGTAAAGATGAGGTTACTAGAATGTGATATAGTTGGTTAGTCAAAAGTTGATTTAATTGTAGAGATGAAATTGTTGAAATGTTATGTGATCGGTTAGTTTATATGGATTAATAGCGTGGATAGTTGTATGGTTTGAATAATAGTTACATTGATAAGCGTATAGTCTTTGGTGGGTTTTTGATTTAATTTCGTGTGTGCGACGTCGTGATATTGTTGAGCATGTGAGGATCCTGTGTGTGTGTTTGGGCCTAGTGACTGCGCAATGTGTTGCTGGTGATAAGGAGATTGGTGTGACTTGAAACTGTGTGTATATTTGTACAGCTTTTTGAATCAGACGTTCTGTTGAAATAATCTTCTGATTCACTAGGCTGTTAGTCTTTTGTCTTGTATGTTTTCAAAAAAAAAAAAAAAAAAGTAGGGAGTAGCCTGTCCTGGTGGCTGCATGGCCTCCATGTGGCAGTCTTCACTTAAAATTAGTGCAGGGTGTACATGTGGCTGTAACTAGTAGGCTGGAATTCTATGATCAGTTTCTATATATTGACTGTTGAAAAATTGCCTTGGTGAATTAAACTGTGTCATATGGGAAACAATGTAGCCATATGGTGGTCAGAACTAAGGACTTAATTACAACTGCTTTGGACATCCCCTCCCCCCTGGCATCTGATTACCAACCCCCCAAACATCCTCCAGAGCCAGATTAGCCACGCCCCTATTCTTTTTCCCAAGCTAAGAACTGGTATATAGTCAGTATTTGCACTCCCCCTGCTCTACTGTCCCCGCCTACCCACATACCCAGAGGCGGCTCTCTAATTAGGCGGTTTAGGCGGCCGCCTAAGGCCTCGCGCCGGCTGGGGCCTCGCGGCCGCCTAAACCGCCTGTGGGCAATCTGTGTCAGGTCCTCGGTCAGTGACCGAGGACCTGACACCAGGAGGGGGCCCGGCGGCTTGCCCGGTATGCCGCCGGGTGCGAGGCCCCTCCTTGCGAGAGACCGCCTGCAACCCCTGGTCTGCAGCTCCGCGCAGTGTGCAGAGCTGCAGACCAAGTGTCTGGCGAGATCTGGCCAATCAGAGCGTTGCCGCGGGTTACCGTGGCAACGCTCTGACCGGGTGTAATGATATTGATGTTACAAAGTTTTGGAGTCCAGTAGCCAGATCAGCAATGTTTTCTGCCAGAGGTAGCCACTCGTTACCCAGGTGGTTGAGCCCCTGAGCCTTGAGTGGCCTTCTGGTCTTAAGCAGAGATGGGAGACTGGAACAGAAAGATGATAATCGTAGTGAGGCAAGCCGAGGTCAGTGGGAAGGAGAAGCAACATCAAAACAGTCCAAATTCAGCAACGGGAAGAAGAAACAGGAACCACAATAATCTGGCAAAGGTACAGAGACAGGAAGTGGCTTTTATAGGCCAAGAACCAGACACCAGACCAGACACAGCTGAAGAGAGTTGTCACTAATAACCTTGACTCTACAAGCAATGGTATCAGATCTCAGGTAAATTTGCAAAAGGCAGGCTGGTGTACTGGTAAGGAAGAGGTTTAGCACCATGTAAACCAGGGTTTGAAACCCAGCAGAGTCAGTTCCTCACATTACCTCCACCTCTACAGGCGCAGCCTCTGGATGCCCTATTTCCTGGTTTAGCAGGGTACTGTGCATGGAAAGACTGAAGAAGATCAGGAGCATGAATATTGTCCACTGGTTCCCACGATCTATCCTCCTCACCATAGCCTTTCCAATGAACCAAGTATTGAAGCTTGTTGCGGAAAATCCTGGAGTCAAGAATTTTTTCCACCTCGTATTCATCTTCACCATCCACGAGGACTGGTGGTGGGGCAGGCAAGGCTCGACCAGGGAAAGTATTTTCATGAAAAGGTTTAAGCAGTGCCACGTGAAATACCGGATGTATTTTCATGGAATCCGGAAGTTGCAGACGGAAGGTGACTGCATTGATCTGAGCGATTATCTTAAAAGGTCCCATGAACTTTTGACCCAATTTATGAGAAGGAATCCTAAGCTTAAGATTCTTTGTTGACAGCCAAACCTTGTCACCAACATGATAAACTGGGGCCTCCTTTCTGTGCCTATCAGCAGCTCTTTTGTAACATTCCTGAGCCTCCGAAAGAGTCTCCTTCAACAGTTCTTGGGAATCTCGTAAGGCGGTTAGCCGGTCAGTGACTGCAGGAATGGGAGTAGTAATTGGGAGACTCACTAGAAAGGTTGGATGGTAACCATAATTGGCAAAAAATGGGCTCAGAGAAGTGGAGCAGTGTTGGGCATTGTTATAGGCAAACTCCGCTGTGGGTAGAAAATCCAGCCAGTCATCCTGCAGGTAACTAATATAGCACCGCAAATATTGTTCTAAAGTCTGGTTGGTTCGCTCAGTCTGTCCATTACTTTGTGGATGAAAAGCTGAAGACAGATTTACATTAATACCTAGAATAGAACAAAAATATTTCCAAAATGAGATGTAAACTGCACTCCCCTGTCAGAAATTACTTCATCAGGCACTCCATGCAAGCGAAATATTTCCCGAATAACAAGGTCAGCAGTCTGTTTAGCTGAAGGGAGACCACGAGCTGGTATGAAATGACTCATCTTGGTTAACCGGTCCACAACAACAAGAATAGTAGTGTGTTCCTTAGAGGGAGGTAGTTCCACAATAAAGTCCATGGATATAGATCCCCAGGGACGATGAGGAATCGGAAGAGGCTGAAGCAAGCCAACAGGGGATGAGCGAGGAGTCTTATGTCTGGCACATACATCACAAGAGGACACATACTTCTTAACATCCTCATAATATTTAGGCCACCAAAAAGATCGGGTAAGTAGTTCTTGTGTCTTTCGGATTCCTGGATGACCTGCTGGTTTAGAATCATGGTAGAGGCGTAAAACGTCCAGTCGCACTGATTCTGGAACAAACAGACGTTGTTGAAAAATCCAAAACCCATTAAGCATGGTCATATGAAGATCACGAGGAGGATCACGAAAAACTGGATCTTTAGAGTAGCCCTTTTAATGCGAGACATTAGATCAGAAGGAAAGGTAACTCCTAAAAATCTGCTCTCCGGCAAGATGGTGGCCTTGGTTACTGTAGTATGGAGGGGGTCAGCTATCCTAGACAAGGCATCCGCCTTGCCATTTCTGGAACCAGGGCGGTATGAAATAAAAAAATTAAACCTTGAGAAAAATAGGGACCAGCGTGCTTGTCTGGCTGACAGTCTCTTAGCGGATTGGATACATTCCAGATTTTTGTGATCTGTGAGGACAGTAATTGGATGGGTGGCTTCCTCCAAGAGATGTCTCCATTCGGTGAAGGCAGCTTTTATAGCCAAAAGTTCTTTATTCCCTATGTCATAATTTCTTTCTGCTGGTAACATCTGGCGGGAATAGAAGGCACATGGATGTAACAACATCTTAGGTCCAGTCCTTTGAGATAGTATAGCCCCAACAGCTGAATCAGAAGCATCTACCTCTACAGTAAATGGCAATTCTGGCTGAGGATGTACCAAGATAGGGGCAGATGTAAACAGAGTCTTTAATCTGGAAAATGCAGTGTCAGCCTTATTGGACCACTGAAAAGGAGTCCCTTTACGTGTAAGTTCAGTGATCGGTGTAATAACGGCAGAGAAATTCTTAATGAAACGCCTGTAAAAGCCTTATTGGACCACTGAAAAGGAGTCCCTTTACGTGTAAGTTCAGTGATAGGTGTAATAACGGCAGAGAAATTCTTAATGAAACGCCTGTAAAAATTGGCAAACCCCACAAATCTCTGTATATCTTTTTCATTCTTGGGGATGGGCCAGTCCAGCACAGCTTTAATTTTACTTGCGTCCATACTTAAACCTTTGGGAGTTATTACATACCCCAGGAACTGAATTTCTGTTTGTTCAAACTCACATTTTTCCAGTTTAATGTATAGGTGGTGGGTACGAAGGCGCTCAAGAACAATGCAGACCTGTTTTCTGTGATTTTCAAGATTAACAGAAAATATCAGGATATCATCCAAATATGCCACAACAAACTGATCCAGGAGATCCCGTAGTACATCATTGATTAGATGCTGAAAAGTTGCAGGGGCATTACAAAGCCCAAATGGCATTACTAGATATTCGTAATGTCCGTACCTGGTTCTGAAAGCAGTTTTCCATTCATCATTTGGTCTTATGCGAACCAGATTATATGCCCCCCGTAGATCAAGCTTCGTAAATATTTTAGCTGAACGAAGTCTCTCCAGAAGTTCAGGAATGAGAGGCAAGGGATAACGGTTTTTAACAGTGATTTTATTAATGTCCCTGTAATCTACACAAGGCCGTAGACTGCCATCTTTCTTTTCTACAAAGAATATAGGAGCTCCTGCTGGAGAAGTGGATGGTCGAATAAAGCCTTTGGCAAGATTTTCTTGTATGTATTCACGAAGTGCTTTCAATTCAGGCTCAGAAAGGGAGTATATACGGCCAAATGGGATTGCAGCTCCAGGTAGCAGCTCTATGGGGCAATCATAAGGCCTGTGAGGTGGAAGCTGATCAGCATTCTTCTTATCACAGACATCTGCAAAATCCTGATATTGTAGCGGAAGCTTAGTAAAGTTTGTAGCAACCATTTCATTAATTGTTGTGGTAACAGGTGTCACCTTAGAGGGTTGACAATTCATTAAGCAGTGTTCTGAAGGAAAGGACAAAGTTCTAGTCTTCCAATCAATCTGTGGGTTATGCAGAGCAAGCCAGGGTATACCCAAAATCACTGGAAACTGTGTTGAGGAAATTAGGTGGAAAGATATAGACTCATGGTGATTCACTTCCAGAATCAATTTTAAGGGCACAGTCTCATGTGTAACCGGGCCTGACGTAAGTGGAGAACCGTCTACTGTTTCCATTAACACAGGTGAAGATTTAGGGATAGACTGAATTTTATTTCCTGCTGCAAATTTAATGTCCATAAAGTTTCCGCCTGCTCCGGAATCTATCATAGCTGTAGTTGAAATTTTATTATTACCATATTGCAAAGTGATAGGCACCACCAAATGAGGATGTTGAGTCATCATACCTTCTTCGCCCTGAGCCAGAGAAAACAAGGGTTGTGTGACAGAATCCAGTTGGTCTGAAATCTGGGATTGGTGTTGAATCTGCGCACCCTCAGCAGTCATAGCTATTGTTCTTTTAGACTTGTTAGGGCACTTGATGGCATAATGCCCTGCACTACCACAATACAGGCATAAGTTGTGAGTGCGTCGCCACTGTTTTTCTTCATTGGATAATGGCCCTCTTATTAGATCTACCTGCATAGCCTCAGGTTCAGAGTCTGTAGGTGTTTGTGGGGTCGGAGTAGAAATTCTTGAATAGAAAGTAGGAGTAGCACTTGGTTTAAAAGAGCCCTGTCTTTCCAATCTTCTTTCTGAAAGTCTCCGATCAATACGGATAGCCAACCGCACAAATGCATCAAACTCAACAGGAAGATCAACACGAGCTAGCTCATCTTTTATAGCTTCTGAGAGACCCCTTCTGAAGTGGAACCTCTGGGCTGATTGGTTCCAAGTAGTATCAGTAACCCACTGTCTGAATTCAGCAGCATATTCAGCCACAGAGCGCCTCCCTTGATGTAAATGAAGGAGAGTGGCTTCTGCTGTAGCACAGCGATTGGGATCATCAAAAACTAGGCACATGGCCTCAAGAAAGTCTTTTAAGTTTCCCAAGATTGGACTGTCCTGTTCCAGAAAAGGGGAGCCCCAGGCCAGGGCTTCATCTTTGAAGAGGGAAAAAATAAATCCCACTTTCTCTCTTTCAGATGGAAAACGGTTAGGTAACATCATGAAATGCAAACGGCATTGATTTAGGAAACCCCTGAATTTTTTGCGGTCTCCTCCAAATTTTTCTGGTAGAGGCAAGCGGGCATCTTGTGCAGGTGTAACAGTAGTAGTAGCAGCAGCCGCAACATCATGTGCCCTGTAGCTGGTAAGCTCACTATGCATTGATCGAACTTCATTTTGCAGTTCAGCTACCTGATCCTGCAGCACTTGAATGGTCTGTGCCTGGGTCTGCATAGTTCTTGCATTAAAAGCAACCTGCTGGGCCAATGCAGAATCTGATCCGACGGTCTCCATGAATGGGCCAGATTATTCTGTAATGATATTGATGTTACAAAGTTTTGGAGTCCAGTAGCCAGATCAGCAATGTTTTCTGCCAGAGGTAGCCACTCGTTACCCAGGTGGTTGAGCCCCTGAGCCTTGAGTGGCCTTCTGGTCTTAAGCAGAGATGGGAGACTGGAACAGAAAGATGATAATCGTAGTCAGGCAAGCCGAGGTCAGTGGGAAGGAGAAGCAGCAAAGTCAAAACAGTCCAAATTCAGCAACAGGAAGGAGAAACAGGAACACGCTGGATTAGAGAGTACAGGAACCACAATAATCTGGCAAAGGTACAGAGACAGGAAGTGGCTTTTATAGGCCAAGAACCAGACACCTGACTAGACACAGCTGAAGTGAGTTGTCACTGATAACCTTGACTCTACAAGCAATGGTATCAGATCTCAGGTAAATTTGCAAAAGGCAGGCTGGTGTACTGGTAAGGAAAAGGTTTAGCACCATGTAAACCAGGGTTCGAAACCCAGCAGAGTCAGTTCCTCACAGCCCAGTGCCATCCGCTACAAGCACAAACACAAATAAACATATAGAGAGACACACACACACACTCAAAGATTAATAAATATAGACACAAACATAACACACTCACAGATATCTACATCTAGACACACAAAGACGCACTCACAGGAACATCTGTATTTTTGCATGCAGTCATATTCATAGATACACAAACGTATACAGATACACACATAGACATACAAAGGCAAACACAAAATAAACAAACATATACACACTGTGACAGATTCCCTGTCCTGTACCTGATTCACTGTTGTATTTAACTGATCCTGTATACGAACTTAACCGAACAAAATTGAGAACTTGGTACGTGAAGCGAACCATCTACCGAATGGATTGACCACCCAATGCAGTGGGGTGCCGCTCATTAACCTGGCTGACCTCTTTTCACACTTGCAAAAACCACAAAATTAATAACATCCTAAGTGGTCGGCTGGGTTGCCATCGTTCGTATGGCCAAACACAAGGCGGCGGCCATCTTAACTCCGCGAACACCTACAGCGGTGTTTGGTCGTCGAGTGCGTGGAACTAAAATCGACCACTCAACGGCACGAACACCGCTGGGCTTCCAGCCGCAAGTATGTTCAGTCTAGTTCAAGTCTCTGGAGCGGCGTACAGTGGAACCAAACTCCCGAACGAGGGGCACACAGCCAGCTGTTATGCAAACTGCTACTTTCAGTATTTCATTGTGTTTGGAGCTGCAGAAAGAGACCACACAGCCTGAATTTATGGAACTATTATGGGCAGGAGCCTTGTGTGCGGTCGGTCAGTCAGAAATAAGACTTTCATAGAAATCCCGAACCCATGCACCGATCTGGGTGATTTTGGGATATGTTGGTCACCCAGATCGGGGCTATCTGGGGATATCACTTTTGTGGAGTTTATGTGAGGTTTTGGGACACTTTTGGGTTGCCTGTAAAATTGTGTTTTTCCCCCTGAAGATAATTGAGTTAGTACAGTACTGTGACGGTCACCCCGAGTGAGGAGGGGTATCTGCCGCCAGAGATGTCCTTTTCCCCTAGTCTGAGTAACGCTGCAGTATTCTCCAGTTGATATCCCAGCAGACCAAGAATCGAATATAGCTGTAGAGCTCCTATAAGAGCCAGTGGTTATAGAAGTATAGCGGTTCCCTACAATCACGAGACAGGGCTGCGTGTTGAGGGTTAAGTGAACTGGTTTAATGGTAGCCACACTGGCCTTTTATGTAATTCCCCATGCTAGGGGCACTCCCACATGGATAACAATACAAACTTATAAACCAATAACGACAGACTTACAATGTATGACACTCTCACACATGGCATACAATCCCTCCCCTCTGCCTGGGAGATAATCGAGTCAATTATTGTATCAACTCAATTATCTCCAGGCAAAAAAGAACATAATTTATAGACAATCTGAAAGTACCACAAAAACCCACACAAACTTCACAAAAAGTACCTGATAGCCCCGATCTGGGTGAGCAGCCTATCCAAAAATCACCTAGATCAGTTCGTGATTCATATGGAAGTCTTATTTCTGACCGACCGCACACGAGGCTCCTGCCCAGAATAGTTAAATTAAATCAGGCTGTGCGGCTTCTTTTGTGGGCTTCAAATATAACAAAATATCCCAAACCACTGTTGGTGGGAAAGCTAGTCGTATGCCCTTGTTCAGGAGTTTGGTTTCACTGAACGCCGCCTCTTTCGGGTGACTTGGAATGAAACTAGGTGATCCTGAAAGTCTCAGTGGTGTTTGGGCCATTGAGTGTCCGAAAATAGTTCGAAAATAGTTCCATACACTCGACGACCAAATACCACAAAACAAGATGGCCGCCGCCTCGTGTTCATGCATACGAACAACGGCCACCCAGCAAACAACTTAGAATGTTCAGTGTTGCGGTTAGGGCAAGTGTTAGTAAGGTCAATTGGAGGCACATGACTGCTCTGGGTGGTCCAAGGGTTCGGTATATTATTTGGTATACGAACCAGCTGGGGCAAATCTGTTCGGTTGGATTCATATACCGATCCCAGCAAAGTAAACAATAATCTCCAGGAACAGGGCATCTGTTACAAGTACCTGACTCAGTTATCTCCCAGGCGGGGGAGAGGGATTGTATGATTATGTATGGGAGTGTCATGTACTTGAACAACTTTGTCATTGGTCTGTAACTTAGTACTGTAGTCTTCCATCAGGTCCATGTGGGAGTACCCCTTGCATGGGGATTGTCATAAAAGGCCAAGTGTGGTCCCATTAGAGTCAATTCACTTCATCCTCAACACAGAGCCTCGTCTCGTGATTATATGGAACAGCTATACCTGCTATAACCACTAGCTCTTGTAAGAGCTGAACAGCTATACTTGCTCTTTTGCTGGTTTGGCGATCGACTTGGGAATACTACAGCACTACAAACACTAGGGGAAAGGGACATCTCTGGCAGTGGATACCCCTCCTCTCTTTGGGTGACCGCCACACACACTCACAGAAACACAGTCATACATACAGATACATTCACAGATACGTGAAGAATAAGACAGAGGGTTTAAAGTTGCACTTTCTCTGTGCTTCACAACAAGAAAGGAAAATTAGCTTTCAAACATCATTCTCCTTTGCCCCATAGCTCATACTTCTACTAAGCTGCAAGACAGCCTACCCTTCGTCGCTGCTCCATGTTATCCCCCCAGGCCAACCACCATAGTTCTAACTAACTATAAAGTAAAGAGTGTGAGTTCCCAGTTCTCTAACTAAAGATGTAGAATTTCTTATCTCCTGCTCGCTTCCTGCCAGCCAGAGCTTAAAAAAGCCAGAGATAATGCAGTCAGGGGAGATATGGCTAGAACTGCATTAATAGAAATAAAGTGATTTAACTCCTAAACAGCAGAGAATCGCAGACATCCCAACAAAATCTCATTTCGGGGAAGAGGTCACCTCATTTCAGGGAGGTGCCTTCAACATCTACGGTCCCCCCATCCCACGCAATCTCGGAGGGGCACTGGTACTGGGTTGTTGTGGGGTGACAGAGGATGTAGTGGGGCACAAGTGCTGTATTGGAGGGTATGTGCCATAATTGGGGGATTAGGAAATGTAGTGCAGGATAACAGCTGTAGCTGATGACTTAGGGACTGAAGTACATGGCTGCAATTGGGGAAAGGGGCTGCAATTGGGGGATCGGGACTGAAGTGTGGGGTACGGACTGTAGTCAGGGAATATGGGCTGTAGTGGGGGTATAGGGGTGTAAAAGTGGGGTTGGGGGCTGTAGTAGGGAATAAGGGCAGCAAGTGAGGTGATTGGTGCTGTAGTGGGAGGGATAGGGGCACCCCCCATTTAATCCATATCTCCCCCACTATAGCTCCCACTACCTCATGTCTTCCCTCAATTCTCTCAACCCATCATATCTTCCCACAATTCTCTCAGCCCCTCATATCTTCCCCCAAATCTTTCAGCCCCTGATATCTTCCCCCAATATCTCCCACCACCTCATATCTTCCCACCATATTTCTCACACACCCTCATATCTTCCCCAAATATCTCCCACTCTCTCATATCTTCACCTAATATCTCCCACCCCCTCATATCTTCCCCCAACTCTCTCAGCCCTTCATATCTTCCCCCATATCTCCCAGCCCCTTATATCTTCCCCAAATATCTCACAGCCATTCATATCTTCACCAAATATCTCACAGCCATTCATATCTTCCCCAAATATCTCCCACTCCCTCTAATCTTCCTCCAATATCTCCCAGCCCCTTATAGCCCCAATCATCCCACCCCCCTTCCTTACAAAACTGTATTCCTAACTGTAACGGACCGTTTTGCACACAAGGGGTAAAAAACGTTTAGGCGATCGGCCCCCTTTCCAGAGATACAGGCACAGCTACTGCAGAACACCAAACTCCCGAACTGGAACATCCCAAATAGCTGCTAGCAGGCGAACAGGAAAAGCAGACAATCAGCTTACACTCCTGGCAATCAGTCTCTAACAGCATACAGTGAATCCCCCCAAGAACGAGACAAGGCTTTGTGTTGAGGGTCAGGCAGTGGTCTGAGCTGCTGGCACACCCAGCCTGGTTTTTATTACAGTCTTGCAAATACAGGACCGCCCACAGGGAGGTATAAAATATCCAGTAACATATTAGTTACAACCCACATATTCCCTCCCCTTATCCTGAGAGGTAACCCAATTACACATACTTTTTACCACAATGCATCCTGGCTTCCTCTCCTCTGCCCTGGAGATAATTGAGAAGTAATTAAATTATCTCCCAGGACAGAGACAAGACTCCATTATGCACATGGTTAGCACAAAGCATTAAAATACTGTACAATACACAAAGTCACATTTTATACATAAAACACAGACATGTCAGAGACAAGACTCCATTATGCACATGGGGACACAAAGACAGTAAAACACTTTAAAATACATAAAGTCACCTTTTACACATAACACACAGACATTTCACATATCCCCAGATAGCTGGGATCTGAGCGCACAAAACTACCGAATAGCGCTCAGATCCTATTCACACAATTCAATTGCCATGGAGCCGAAGTCTTTAACTACACGAATGGGCTCCATGGCATAGCTATCTGGGTTAACACATTTACATAAAGTCTGGTCCATAGTCCAAAGGCAGCAGGCGGGCAGCCAGGCTTCTCCAATGCAATGTGGCGAGATTGCTCTCGTCACACTAACACAGCAGTGTTCCTCTGCCTCTAAGCACCTCACCCGTTGTCCCTTCAAGGTTTCTGTTTTAAAATGTATGTTTGCTATTGATAGTAAAAGACAGAGATAAGGACAATAGGAGTGTGACAGAACCATCTGTCTGCTTGTATTTTAATTGCATTCGTCTGTTTGTCTCCCGTTCGTATGAATGGCTGGTTTCTATAGCCCAGCCATTCGAATGACTCTTTTTTCCCGAACAAACCTGCCGAACGGACGGCCACCCAGGAGAGAAGTGTGCTGCTGGTTAACCTATTGATCCCAATTAGAACGTTGTGGTTAACCGCAGACACTTCTCAATTAAACCGAATTCAGGGTGGTCGTCGTTCGTATGTCGACCACGAGGCAGTGGCCATTTTAAACCAAGTGAACGCCCAGCTGTGTTTGGCTCTATTCCTACGGAACTAAAAACGGACACTTTTTCTGCCGAACACCGCTGAAACATTGGAACGCCTGGCTGCCTCCACGAAACCATACGAATACCGGCCGTTCGGGAGTTTTGGAGCATACGAAAAGACTTAACCCAGATAGCCTTCCCATGGAGTCATTCGTATACCGAAAGACTGTAAGAACTTTGACTTCATGGCGATTGAACTATGTGTGTGGGATTTGAGCGCTATTCGCCAATAATATGCACTCAGATCCAGGCTATCTGGGGATATGTAATACGAATGGGAAATGTTCGGTTTTTGTGAAGTTATATATTTTTATGTCTTTTGTGATTTTATATTTAAAATGGTGACTGGCTTTGTCCTGGAGTTAATTGAGTTACTTGGTAATTAACTCCAGGGCAGAGGGGAGGGAATCATAATGCACTGTGGGTAAAATCTGTGACTGTGTGTCTGGAATGTCCCCATATCTGTCTGTCATTTAAGTCTCCCATTTGGTCCCCTAGGGGAGTGTCCACCAGGTGGGAGACCTGCATAAATACGGGCAGGTAGCCCACAGTAAAGCCAGATCCTGTTTGACCCTCAATGCGGAGCTTCTGTCTCGTTATTGGGGGGATTTCTTCTTCACGTTTAGAGACTGCTAGATGGAACGGAAGCCGCTTGGTGAATATTGCTGTTCGACGGTTAGCAGCAGTTCGTGTATTGCCGTTCGGGAGTTTGGAGCCGTTCACGGATCTCGATCGGGAGATTGCCGCTTCCCCTGCATTTGGTTCGTATACTACAGATTAAGCGAACGGAGACTGTACTGCAGCCGGGGAAGGTCTACTAAACGGCGGTTTTGCCTAAAGACACTGGAGGTGTCTTAACAAGGAGCCTCTCTATCTGTAATAAAATCCTGAATTGAATCTCCCCATCAACACAGTGTAATTATTATTATAATTGTTGATAATAGGGCGCTTTATAAAGCGCCAACAAAGTGTAATTATTATTTTTTGTTTGCTGTGGGATTTACTGTCAGTGTAGCATTGCAGTAATATTGTTATTTATTATAGTCGGTTCATTTGATATTCTGCGATATTCTTTTAGTATGATTTGTGAGGTCAGTGTATGTAAGAAACGCTAAAACATTCTTCCAATTATTGGATTTCAATATGACACCAGGAACGGTTTATTTACTTTGCAGTCGCCTTAGTCGGCAAATAATGAGAGTGAAGGTGATAATCGATATCAGGAGTAACGCAGCCAGCGTTCCGCAAATTATTATCGCCTCGAGTGAGAATCTGTCACTGGCCACCGGTTCAGCTCCTACAACAAAATGTAATTATTATTATAATTATTTATAAAGCGCCATCACAGTGTAATTATTATTATTATTATTATTTATAAAGCATCAACACAGTGTAATTATTATTATAATTGTTTATAATAGGGTGCTTTATAAAGCGCCAACAAAGTGTAATTATTATTATTTTTTTTTAAAGCGCAAAGTCTAATTATTATTATCATTTATAAAGCTCCAAGAAAGTGTAATTATTATTATTTATAAAGCGCTAAAACAATATAATTGTTATCATTGTTATTATTGCTATTTATAATGAGCCAGCAAAGTGTAATTATTATTATAATTATTTATAGAGCGCCAACAAAGTGTAATTATTATTATAATTATTTATAGAGCGCCAACAAAGTGTAATTATTATTATAATTATTTATAGAGCGCCAACAAAGTGTAATTATTATTATAATTATTTATAAAGTGCCAACAAAGTATAATTATTATTATTATTTATAAAACACCAACAAAGTGTAATTATTATTATTATTATTATTATTATTATCATTTATAAAGCGCCAACAAAGTGTAATTATTATCATGATTTATAAAGCGCCAATTATTAGACCTCAACAAGAAAAGACAGCAAAAGACTGCCAGGACTAACAAATATACAGATAGACTGTCAGAAAAACAGGAGGAGACTACTAGGGCTAACAGTCAGATATACAAAGAACAGTCTCTTTTATATATTTATCAGAGAGAGACTGCTGGGATAATAGATATACAGGGAGACCATCATAGAGACAGCCTTAGACTGGTGGAGTATGTAGGTACAAAGACAGCCAGAGCTAATAGATATACAGTCAGACCGCAAGAGACTATTAATAGGTTTAACAGATAGACAGAGAGACAGCCAGGTTTATCCAATATACAGAGAGACAGCAGGAGACAGCCATGGTTAACACATATACCAAAATATATTAAAGAGTTAAAATACCGAGTCCTGTAATGGGAAAACCTGAAAAAAATCAGAGACAATAGAATCCTTTATTAATATAGAGGGTTTGTATCCGAACAATCTGTCATTTGTTTATAGTCGCCCTTTGAGTTTCTCTCGCTAGCCCTAGCAGGCTTTCTCTGCACCACTAATCCTCTCCTAATCCTTTCCTAATCCTTTCCTAATCCTTTAATCACAGATGGGACTCCTGTAAGAAACCCAGTGTAGGTAGAGTATCCTCAACCAACAAGTTACCACCCTAACCATAACCCATCCTACCCTACCACACTAACCCTACCACCACACTACCACCCTAACCATAACCCATCCTAGCCCTATCACACTAACCATAACCCATCCTAGCCCTATCACACTAGCCATAACCCATCCTAGCCCTATCACACTAGCCATAACCCATCCTAGCCCTATCACACTAACCATAACTCATCCTAGCCCTATCACACTAACCATAACCCATCCTAGCCCTATCACACTAACCATAACCCATCCTAGCCCTATCACACTAACCATAACCCATCCTAGCCCTATCACACTAACCATAACCCATCCTAACCCTATCACACTAACCATAACCCATCCTAGCCCTATCACACTAACCATAACCCATCCTAGCCCTACCACCCTAACCATAACCCATCCTAACCCTATCACACTAACCATAACCCATCCTAGCCCTACCACACTAACACTACCACCCTAATCCACCCTAACCATAACCCATCCTAGCCCTACCACACTAACCATAACCCATCCTAGCCCTATCACACTAACCATAACCCATCCTAGCCCTACCACACTAACCATAACCCATCCTAACCCTATCACACTAACCATAACCCATCCTAACCCTATTACACTAACCATAACCCATCCTAGCCCTACCACACTAACCATAACCCATCCTAACCCTACCACACTAACCATAACCCATCCTAGCCCTATCACACTAACCATAACCCATCCTAGCCCTATCACACTAACCATAACCCATCCTAGCCCTATCACACTAACCATAGCCCATCCTAGCCCTATCACCCTAACCATAACCCATCCTAGCCCTATCACACTAACCATAACCCATCCTAGCCCTATCACACTAACCATAACCCATCCTAGCCCTACCACCCTAACCATAACCCAGCCTAACCCTATCACACTAACCATAACCCATCCTAGCCCTACCACCCTAATCATAACCCATCCTAGCCCTAACACACTAACCATAATCCATCCTAGCCCTACCATCCTAACCATAACCCATCCTAGCCCTATCACACTAACCATAACCCATCCTAGCCCTATCACACTAACCATAACCCATCCTAGCCCTACCACCCTAACCATAACCCATCCTAACCCTATCACACTAACCATAACCCATCCTAGCCCTACCACACTAACACTACCACCCTAATCCACCCTAACCATAACCCATCCTAGCCCTACCACACTAACCATAACCCATCCTAGCCCTATCACACTAACCATAACCCATCCTAGCCCTACCACACTAACCATAACCCATCCTAACCCTATCACACTAACCATAACCCATCCTAACCCTATTACACTAACCATAACCCATCCTAGCCCTACCACACTAACCATAACCCATCCTAACCCTACCACACTAACCATAACCCATCCTAACCCTATCACACTAACCATAACCCATCCTAGCCCTACCACACTAACCATAACCCTACCCCCCTAATATATCCTAACCATAACCCATCCTAGCCCTATCACACTAACCATACCCCCCTAATATATCCCTAACCATAACCCATCCTAGCCCTACCACACTAACCATAACCCATCCTAACCCTATCACACTAACCATAACCCATCCTAGCCCTACCACACTAACCATAACCCATCCTAGCCCTACCACACTCCCCTAATATATCCTAACCATAACCCATCCTAGCCCTACCACACTAACCATACCACCACACTACCACCCTAACCATAACCCATCCTAGCCCTGCCACACTAACCCTACCACCCTAATCCATCCTAACCATAACCCATCCTAGCCCTACCACACTAACCATACCCCCCTAATATATCCTAACCATAACCCATCCTATTCCAATCACACTAACCCTACCACCACATTACCACCCTAATCATAACCCATCCTAGCCCTACCACACTAACCCTGCCACCCTAATCCATCCTAACCATAACCCATCCTATTCCTATCACAATAATCCTACCACCACACTACCACCATAACCATAACCCATCCTAGCCCTACCACACTAACCCTACCACCCTAATATATCCTAACCATAACCCATCCTAGCCCTATCAAACTAACCCTACCACCCTAATATATCCTAACCATAACCCATCCTATTCCTATCACAATAATCCTACCACCACACTACCACCATAACCATAACCCATCCTAGCCCTACCACACTAACCCTACCACCCTAATATAACCTAACCTTTAACCCATCCTAGCCCTATCACACTAACCCTACCACCCTAATATATCCTAACCATAACCCATCCTATTCCTATCACACTAACCCTACCACCACACTACCACCTAACCATAACCCATCCTAGCCCTACCACACTAACCATACCCCCCCAATATATCCTAACCATAACCCATCCTAGCCCTGTCACACTAACCCTACCACCGCACTACCACCATAGCCATAACCCATCCTAGCCCTACCACACTAACCCTACCACCCTAATATTTCCTAACTATAACCCATCCTATTCCTATCACAATAATCCTACCACCACACTACCACCTAACCATAACCCATCCTAGCCCTACCACACAAACCCTACCACCCTAATCCATCCTAACCATAACCCATCCTAGCCCTACCACACTAACCATACCCCCAATATATCCTAACCATAACCCATCCTATTCCTATCACACTAACCCTACCACCACACTACCACCC